TGGCAAGTGAGCTTGACCAGCCACCAGTTCAGGTCAGTGATCAGGGAATGTGGAGGATATTTCGTCAGGAATTCGTCACCATGGAAGGTGGAGGCAAAGTTAGAGAGAGAAGGCAGATGGGAGCGACCATCGAGGTAGACAAAAGCAATGTGACAAAGAGACCCATGGATCTTTTCAACATCACGCAGATGGCAAGGTCGACCATCGAAGTTGACAAGGAACTGGAGAACACGTTGATGAAATTTATTCCTTTTTCCCTCCGGCAAGCTGACGCGCTTCCGAGGGATGTCCCAGAGGAAACCGATAAAGGTGGTGACGAAGGAAAAACATTCATCACCCTTCTTGTCATGCCAAGGCACTCCCAATGAAGAAATGCAGCGAAGCATCTCATCGCGATCGTAGTCATAACAAAATTCGCCAGGGCATTCAGTAGCTGCGCTATGGAACCATAAAAGTACAACATGGACAATTGTCCTATGGGTCATAGGGCTACCCAAATGGGCCCAACACTCTGGACGTCACTATGGGGCCATGGGTGGGCCCAGTTCCTTAAAGACACCTAAGGGTGAATGTTGGGCCCAAATGTCAGGCCAAACCAAATCCTGCCAAATAGGCATTTGGCCCAATTATGGTCATTTGAGTGGGTTAACTTAGCCTAAGGATAGTTGTTGGGCCCAATATCGAGAGTCCCAATGGCTGTATGATGGGCCCAAAGTGTTGAGAAGCTGAAGAATTTTACCCGGTTTTTTGGCACTGGACTCCCAGTATTTTAGCGGAACTTGCGGTGGGTCGGAACTTTCGGGTTGAGTGGAACTTTCGGGTTGAGCGGGAATTGTGGGGTTTGGTGGAACACAAGGATATTGTTTATCAATTCAAACATCCACAGGACATCCAAAAAACAACCCCGGAATGATTTAACTATGAAAAGGGCATCCAAACACAACCCTGCATGACATTAATTGGGGACATCTGAAAAGCATCCTGGATGTCCACATAAATGTTCTGGAAAAATGCGAAATGGCTGGAACATTAATTGGAATATACACAGAACATCCAAAAAGGACTCTGGATGTCTGCATAAATGTTCCGCAGGACATGCGAAATGCCCGAACATTCATTCAGGACATCCGAAAAGCACCCTGAATGTCCACATAAATGTTCCGGAAAATTGCGAAATGCGCGGAACATTAATTAGAATACACAGGGACATCCGAAAAACAACCTGGATGTCCGCATAAATGCTCCGAAAAAAATGCGAAATGCCCGGAACATTAATTGGAATATATGCAGGACATCCAGAAATCGCACGAACATTAATTCAGGACATCCGAAAAGCACCCTGAATGTCCACATAAATGTTCCGGAAAATTGCGAAATGCGCGGAACATTAATTAGAATACACAGGACATCCGAAAAACAACCTGGATGTCCGCATAAATGCTCCGAAAAAAATGCGAAATGCCCGGAACATTAATTGGAATATATGCAGGACATCCACAAAGCGCACAAACATTGATTCAGGACATCCGAAAAGCATCCTGAATGTCCACATAAATGTTCCGGAAGATTGCGAAATGCCCGGAACATTAATTAGAATACACATGGGACATCCGAAAAACATCCTGGATGTCCGCATAAATGTTCCGAAAAAAATGCGAAATGCCCGGAACATTAATTGGAATATATGCAGGACATCCACAAAGCGCACGAACATTCATTCAGGACATCCGAAAAGCACCCTGAATGTCCACATAAATGTTCCGGAAAATTGCGAAATGCCCGGAACATTAATTAGAATACACATGGGACATCCGAAAAACATCCTGGATGTCCGCATAAATGTTCCGAAAAAAATGCGAAATGCCCGGAACATTAATTGGAATATATGCGGGACATCCACAAAGCGCACGAACATTCATTCAGGACATCCGAAAAGCACCCTGAATGTCCACATAAATGTTCCGGAAAAATGCGAAATGCCAAATGGGACATCTGAGAAACACCTGGATGTCCGCATAAATGTCCCGAAAAACATGCGAAATGCCCGGAATGTTATCGAAAAATATGCAGGACATCCAGAAAGCACACATACATTCATTCAGGACATCTGAAAAACACCCTGGATGTCCATATATATGTTCCGGAAAACTGCGAAATGCCCGGAACATTAATTTGAATGCACATGGGACATCCAAAAAACATCCTGGATGTCCGCATAAATGTTCCGAAAAAAATGCGAAATGCCCGGAATGTTAATTGGAAGATATGCGGGACATCCAGAAAGCACATGGTCATTGATTCAGGACATCTGAAAAGCACCCTGGATGACCATATAAATGTTCTGGAAAAATGCAAAATTCCCGGAACATTAATTAGAATACACATGGGACATCTGAAAAACATCCTGGATGTCCGGATAAATGTCCCGAAAAAAATGCGAAATGCCCGGAACATTAATTGGAATATACACAGGACATCCAAAAAGCACCTTGGATGTCCCGGAACATTAATTGGAATATATCTGTTAATTGGAATATACACAAGACATGCAAAAAGCACATGAACATTGATTCAGGACATCCGAATGGCACCCTGGATGTCCACGTAAATGTTCCAAAAAAATGCGGAATGCATGGAACACTAATTGGGACATCCGCAAAGCATTCTGGATGTCCACAATTGTCTGAAGTTCCATTGTATAAACTGAATGCCACTGAACGACCTCATCTACAAGTGAACATCACCAAGTTCCGCAAAGTGAGAGAACATCAGCATTTTCTGCAAAGTGCATAAGGACCTCCGGATGCTTGATATCTTGGTTATCTGAGTGATTTTATACATTGCTTTTGGGTACTAGAAATTAGGGGAATAGCTCATATGCACATCCTAGGAAAAGCTCATAGGAACTTTATGTTTCTTGACACAGGAAGGTTTTCTGTCCTAGAACATCATACCCTTCATTTCAAGACCTTCACATTGTCTCAGGAGATTTAACTTGAAACCAGAGTCTTATATGGACACCAGGGGTGCTTTGAGGACATTTTGCATTTTTTTCGGGACATCCAGAGTTGTTTTTGAGGTCCAGTGTATTTAAACTATTGCCCAGGAGATTTTGCATTCTCCCAGGAGATTTATATCGATACCAGGGTTGCTTTTCTAATGTCCTGGGGATGTTAAAACCAGTGCTCCATAGATTTCACATTTCTGGGACAT